GTAGAGGAATACCCTAGGGCCTTCTAGAATGGGATTTTAGTGCACATTTCAACACAAAAGGGGTGCTTACTTGTTTAGCAAGTCAATAATAGGGGGACTAAATTGAAAATAGGGAAGGGACCAATTAGAAAATCAGAATCTGATCTATTCTCTTTGGGGTTGCCTATAAAAGGGCATGAAATGCCTTGGAAAAGGGGTTCTTCTTCTTCCTTCAGCTCTAATCTCGAAAACCCCCACAAAAGGGGTTCTTCCAGTATTCAAAAATACAAACAACAAAAAAAATGAAAAAATCAAAAACAATCTTACAATTTCAGTATTAGTTCTGGATTTCAGTTGGGCTTTGAGTTTAGCAGTATTACAAAGGTGTTTGGGTTCAGCTGGGAAGGCTAGGAGTGCATTTGAAGTGTGTTGAATTTATCTGTGGAGTCTGCCTGTATTTCTGGTTTTCAAAGCAATCTACCTGTATTTCTGTGGTGTATATTGCTGAGTTTGTTGCTGTTGCTGTTCAAAGTAGCTGACTCCTCTCCTTTTCTCTATTTACATTCCAATTTCCAGGTACATTTCCCTGAACCTCACTGATGTATGCTCGTTGAAGTTGAAATGAAATGTTCAAGGGGCTTGTTATTCAACTGAAAGCAGTCTGTATTTTAACTTATAGTAATAGTGTAGTTTCCTGTTATATAACTGGAAGTTATGTGTATAATTAAACTTGTTCAGTAAGGTTGATTACATGTTGAATGTTGCATAACCTTGAACTGTTGAAATTAGGCATTTGAAATAGCATTGAGCATGGGCCTGGTCTAATTTGAAGGTTTGTGTGAATTCAATAGTCATCAGTAGCAATTGGATCTATGTGCATGACATGTGAATTCATGAGCAAGTCTGATGACATTTAGCATAATTACTGATACTTTCGTCATTGGTCATAATAGTGTAGTAGAAGGTCTGCTTTTGTTTAAAGATTCTGAAATAGTTTGGAAGGCAAACCATAATTATGGTAGGTAGATTGGTACTGAAATCAGTTAAAAATCATGAGACAAACTCATTCATAATTGGCTTAGTTCATTAAAAGCAGCAGGTCTTGATAGGTAATTGGTAGGATAAATCGTTTAGGAATTTTGGAGTTCACGGCTTCTGTTAAAATGAGGGTATGCATGGTCAATGTAGTGACTCGTTGATATTATATCAATTGTTGCAATGGAAACATACCCATATTCGTTGGGCCGTTTGGACCGCATCAAGGCCATGAGGCGGGCCCAATCTTCCTTTGAATTTGGTTCTTAGTCTATTTCAGTGTAAATCGATTCGATTAATTAGTCTTTTAGAGACACATAAATAAGTAGGAAATCATAGTTACTTCGGGATTTCTACTAGCCTCGCCCGAATAAAATCACATACGCGAGCTGTCAACAATTGGTTATTAAAATAATTAGAAATTGGGATGGCCATTTAGCAAATTCCACGGTCTTCCTTAAAATCATATTACATTAGAATCTTTAAGCTCAGTTTTAATTAAGTACCTTCTTAAACTCGGGTGCGCATTGATGCGACCCAAATTCAAATCTCGATGAAGTCGAAATGTGTTGACAATCACGGGCGCATTGATTGCGACGGGGTTCGAAACGCGTTTTCATGACATCATAATTCTTAAAAAATAAATAATGATAGAAAAGAGGTTCACAAATTGAGACGAGCCTCACCGCACAAAAATAAATAAATGTGGGGCCCTCAATAAATAATTATTGAAGTAACNTTATTGAAGTAATTAGAATTTGGGATGGCCGTTTAGCGACCTTCATGGCTTTTCCCCAAAATAATACTACGTTAGCATCTTTGGGCACGATTTAATCAAATTACTCTCTTAAACTCGGGTGCGCATTGATGCGACCCAAATCCAAATCTCGACAAAGCCGAAATGTGTTGACAACCACGGGCGCATTGATTGCGACGTGGATCGAAACGCGTTTCCACAACGTCGCAATTCTGCTAAAAATAAAAGCGGTTTACGAATAAAAAGCACATAAGTTAACATGTATTAAAATCAGATAAAATCAAATACAATAGTTAAGTGACCGTGCTAAAACCACGAAAACCGGGAATGCCTAACACCTTCTTCCGGGTTAACAGAATTCTTTACTCGGATTTCTGGTACGCGGACTGTTAACAGAGTCATAAATTTCCTCGGTTTGGAATTCAACCGGTGACTTGGGACACCATTAATCTCTCAAGTGGCGACTCTGAAAAATTAATAATTAAATCCCGTTCCGATTGTCCTTTAAATGGAAAAACTCCTTTACGTCCTTGCGGGTGTAAGTGAAAAAGGAGGTGTGACAGAGTTGTTATACTTGGCACGGAACTGCACTTTTCTACTAGTTTCCACCCACAGACGGATGGACAAACGGAACGGGTCAATGCCTTACTAGAATGCTACTTGAGGCATTATGTAAGCGCACATCAGAAAGATTGGGCAAGGCTCCTAGACATCGCCCAATTCTCTTATAACTTACAACGGAGTGAGTCCACGGGGCGGACACCATTTGAGCTAGCCACAGCCCAACAACCACAAACTCCACATTCATTACCAGCCGCGTTCGAGGGAAAGAGTTTGGGGGCCACAAACTCTACGGGGCATGCATCAGAATCTGATTTGCAAGTACGAGGGGCCATTTAAGATCGTCGCCAAGGTAGGCAAGATCTCACAAGCTTGACATGCCATCGTATCTTAAGATCTACCCTGTCTTCCATGCAAACATACTTAAGCCATATCATAAAGATAAGGATGATCCGAGTAGGGGGCCAATCAAGTCGAGCGCCAATGACTATCACTGCCTCGCATGATCGGGAGATTGGGGCGATCATAAATTACCAGGCCAGACGAAAACAAGGGCAAAAAGCCACCGCTATGTTCCTCGTCCATTGGAAAGGGCAATCACCGGAGGAGGCCACGTGGGAACAATATCAAGACTTGTGGCAATTCAAAGATAAGATCCAAGAATTTATGCAGCAGCATTGCGCCGCGGTCGTCGCAATATTGGGAGGGGGAGAGTGTGATGACCTGCCATGTCATCATGCCACATAGGAACCATTTGGCTTATATTAATGTCATGTGGAAGCTTACATAAGAAGAAGGCTAGCATTTGTGAGAAGATTCTAGACAAGTATGAACATTTCCTTAGGAAGAACCTAGATTCTTATGGATTTGCTAGGAAAGTCTTTGGAATCTTCTAGGCTTGTAGAGAATTCTAGAGAAAGCCCTTATCTTGTAAATATCAAGGACTTGTGTAATAATTAATATTTACACACTAGCCCCTAGGAGACCGGTATATAAAGGGACTATTCATTTGTAATTCACCAAGCAAACAATTCAAGTTCTCTCTAATACAAGGCTTCATTTAACAATTCTCTTGTGTTCTTTCTTCCATTCTCTTAGCGATTTTGAGTGTAGTAAGGTTGACTTGGCATAGCAAGAACGTGAGCAGGTTGTGCAAGATCGTGAGCGAGTTGTCAAGTGCCGCACGTGTACTTAGTTAACAACTAAAGACGTGACATAAAGCTCTAGATGACCTATCGGGTCATCACAAGTAAGAACTGTAAGAACAAACTAAAAATAGAGTAAATTGGTTCACTTCGGAAGTATTATTACAGAAAAGAACATTCACGTGTAAAGGTGAACGGCATATTGGTCGTTCCTCATAAAAGTATATATTATATATGCCACATTTTCAGAATTGTGTAACGTTGTTAAAAGTTCTATATGTTTGAAAACCAGAAAAGAAACAAGTTAGAAAGCATGTCAAACTTATGATGATCCCCCTTAAGAAACCACAAAAGTTCTTGGAAAAGTTAGAAATCAATATTCAGACAGGTTCACACTAATCATAATTTCTCCACAAATTCACATGATGGAAAATCAGACCATCACAAGCTGCAGATTTCAGCTTGTTGAATTCTATATGGTCATTATTAACTGTCCAGCATTATCAAAGTACCATGAGAGGGGCCTTGTCCCCTAAGACCTTTCATACGAAATTTGAAAGAATGACATGCAATTTTATATTTAAAATTGAAAATTAATCCTGAAAACAGGCACTCTACAAACGAAGAACACTACTCCTACCCATGCTAAAATGACAAGAGCGCATTAGTTTACATGATTCTTAAGATTGTCTTTCAACCCTTGAATCCGCACTCTAGCAGTCGAGTTAAATGGTATATTACACAACCAACCTGATTATAGTAACTAACATCTGTTGGCCGCTTCTACATAATGACCAGTTTTCCGTCTATGCCGACTATAATCTGATACAAACCTGAAGGTGAGTCCACAACCCTCAACCTTGCACTTATATGGCCGCTCCCCAGTATGCACACGCAAATGTTCAGTCCTTGCCCAGGCCCACTTGAATGTCATGGTGCAGCCTTTCCACGGACATCTGAGGGGCCTATCATTTTCATGAACGCGTTGATGAACCAGAGCATATTTGTGGGATGTAAATTTCTTCCCACATCCTTCAATGGGGCAACGATTACGTTTGTGCAGTTGCAGCTCTACCTTTGTTTGGAAACTCATCCGGCAGCCTTCCAGGTCACACCTGTGAGTCCCCTTCCTCTGTAAAGATGTCTTCACCTTCTTCCCCATTGATTTATCCTCCAGAGGTTCCTTAGTATCAACTCTGCTCCCAAGAACATTCTTCCTAGCCCGTGGCCTTAAACCTTCACATGGGCTTTTAACAAAGCCACCAATGCTACATCCATCATATGTTAGGAGTTCTAGCTCACGCCTTCTTTTGCCACCACTTTTTGCAATTGGCCTAGACACTATTGGAGAAGTATCATCATTTGACTCTTTCTTATGCCTCTCGGAGATATTATCACCACTCTGTGAGTGCTTAGGACTCGATGTCTCTCTTGTCACTTTGAGACTTCCTGCTGAGGTGGAAGCTTCTTCTATTGGTGTGACATGGTCAGAGACAGCTATACCTTGATCTGCATTATCAATTTGGATTTTTTGCTCCACGGAGTTGTCCGAAGTCTCATTATCAGATGCCTCGTCACCTGAGCCAGATTGTTCTGGAGATTGATCCTCAATCTGCTCATCACAACTTCTTGAAGGACCATCAGTGCAAGATCCTGAGGAGTTGACAGGCACGGGAGATCTGGTCATAATAGTTTTATCAGCCTCTCCATGATGATCTCTTTCAAAATCTGCTTCCGTCAGATGAGCAGACTTATTTCTGATGCCAGATTCTGTCGTATCCTGATTCTCCCTCAAATTTTCATTATTTGCAGTACTCTGAACCACAGGTATGGTTGTACATGCAGGAGTATTCACATGAGCTACCTCAGTTTCTCCACTAATCTCTGGAGCCGTGGTCTTATGCTCTGCATGGCAATTGTTTGAATTTGTATGACAAGTTTTTTCCTCCATTGAAAACTTCTCAGTAGTACACATTTCAGCCTGGGCCTCACTGAATTCCACCATTACAGAAGAGGTAACAAGTAAATCTGCTTCTTGTGATTCAAGGAGATTTCCATTTTGATCTCTATTTACCAAAAGCATCTCATGTTCGTGATGCAGTCCTGGTTTCCCCTCAGAAGCAGCAAAACAACTTTCCCCTGAAGAAGCCGTGCCTGCATTTTCATCCCTGATGAGAGTACTACTTCCCAATGTTTTTGCATCTGTAAGCAAAACTTCCTCCGTCAAAGCATTAAAAGGATCCACAAAAGCGCTAGTGACCTCCGCACAACTACAAGCCTTAGACTTGTATTTTTTCCTGGAATACTGGATGGTTATATTTCCCTTTCTGGTACTCTGCCTGCCCACTATAGATCCTGAATCAAGTACCTTCTCTATTTGAACATTTGCGAATGGTGGACTTTCTGTTGAATTATTAGACTTCTTCTTTGAGCGTACTTTTCTGGACTGCCACTTGAGATTCAAGGATTCTGAACTAAGAGTTGAATCAGAGAACAATCCACCCAAAGTCAATGCATGTTTTAACTTCTTAAGTGGACAATTCTTTTGCACCTTCACACAGTGCCTTAAATTGATATTTAATTTCAATGTCCAATCTTCTGTACATTTGTCTTGTTCTTCATCCACGATTGCTAGATCAATCAACGAAAGATGTCCTTGAGATGCATTAGCCAGCGTAATCTCATTATATTTGAATGTCGTGCCAATTTCCTCTGCAACAATTGTGGCATGTGAACTGATTTTCTGAAAGTCTACATGAAATCAAAAGTTGCAACAAACATTTTAATACGCCAAAAACTAGCAAAAAGATGAAAACAGATACACTTTAGTAGCTTTTTTTGGGTATTATCATCGATTAGACAATTCAAATGATGTTGTACATGAGAAACGTTACCTGAATGGCAGATCACAAGAACATTTGCTCCACCTTTAGCATGCAGAAGTTCTTCAGTCTGAATTGCATGCTCAAGGCAAAATATCCGTGGTCTCACAAAACTCCTACAAAAATCCCATTCCTTCTCGAGCTCAACTTTTGAAGTCAGAGCTGCATTATCTGTATGTGATGGATTATGAGACTGTGATGTTTGACCCTCATGTGGAGTAACTACAGATTCACTTGGCTGGGAAGACAAAGATACTTCATCATGGTTTAGGAAATGCCCCCCATTTCTTTCCATTCTGTCAACTGCATGAAGAGGAAATTCAGTATTCCACAAGCAAGTCAGTCATTCTGACATATTTGCAATACGTGAATGCTCCCAAAATAGTTAGTGAAGTGAGAATTAACTAGATAGATCGTAGTGTGCAACAACCTGGTCAAATAATGTTAAACTTTGGTGTTACATCATACCAAGTGTCCAGATTGTTAAATAAAATGGACCTTGGGTCTAAGCAAACCCCAAAAACCAGCTCATGAGGTGAATATTACCCAAGGCCATATAAGAAAACAATAGTCCCTTCTCTCAACCGATATGGGATGACATAATATGGGGGCCAGTACTGGGTAAACCAAGAATACAGATGGATCTGGCTATGATACCAAAATAAAATGGACCTTGAGCTAGGAACACACTTCAGCACAGTTATATACCTTTAGGCACAGAGAATGGTCAAATGATGTTAAACTTTCTCTTACATTATACCAGGTGTCCAGATATATACCTTTAGGCACAAAGCAGCAAACCGTACACTTGTCACCATGAAATGCTTAAACCTAAAAAAACGTGAAAACAACTACTTCCATCCAGTGATACAGCTGTCTATTCATTGGAACCAGCTCAACTAAGACTAACCTATTTAAGGTGACTTAAAAAGAGGAATGAAAAATGATAGAACATCTGCTGATTCATGCCGCTGAAGGTAAACCAATATTTCCAGAGCGTATCCTAACCCAATGAGTGGGCCAGCATATGAATATATGCGTATTTTATCACTCCAGGCAGAAATGAAAGTTATAAATCAACGGCTGGAGTTCGTAAACAAACTCAAAGGAAACTCATTACATCGTCTTCAGACTCGATAATTTAAAGGATTAGATCTTTAAACTATGAATGGTGCACAATTAAGATACTTTGATCAGCTTAGAAATGTATTGGTAGTTAGTAAGCAACCACTAACAGCAGCAACAAACTGAAGCAATTCTTTTCTTTGCTCTCTTCTTTTTCTATCAGTAAAAGTTATGTCATTTCTTTTTATCAGTATTCAGCTGAAACAGAAGCAATATTTCTTTTGCACTCCTTGAGTCCTTGAAGGAAAAAACATGTCAAAAGGAAAATAATGATAGAAAGATTAGGGATACATTCTTTGCACCAAAAAAGAGGAAGATCAGAAGAACTCAGTACTGTTGTGTTCAAGGAGTTCGGATTATTTCTCACATGTTGATCAGACACAGGAAGTTTCACAAATCAATTTGCAGAACTTTTTACAAGTAATAAAAGCAGGGCATTTAATAACGATAACAGACAAACTCGGCACCAGGAAAAANCTTTTTACAAGTAATAAAAGCAGGGCATTTAATAATGATAACAGACAAACTCGGCACCAGGAAAATTAGTTATAAAGGGTCTCCTACCTCTATTATAGTCCTCAATCATGCCCCTAAGATCTGAATGGCAATCCGACTCCACATGTTTCACCGCTCCAGAATCTTGTTTATTCTGAAAATCCTCTGGGAAAAGGTGTTCCGCAGCCTTTTTCGATGGTTGCACCAGAGCCATAAATGGAAAACCAAGAATCCCACAAGCTATACAGGGTAATGTCCCCGAATCGACTTCAAAGTCACATGACACATCATCATCCACATAGAAGTCACTGTAATTATCCATGTATAAGCTCATCTGGTCTAATAGATCCTGACTATCGATATTGTCAGACTGATCATTCCCTCTAGAAGCATCCACACTAGCATGCTTGTGCAGTTCAGATTCTTTACCTGAAGACGGCAGCATATCCACATCCCACAACACTGCATTGTCAGAAAAGCTTTTCTGAAGCAAAACTTTTACCAGGTCATTCTCTTTTTCTATATCTTCCAGGAAGGCTTTCTTTACCAGAAGCTCCTTTTCTTCCTTCTGACGATCTCTCAGACGAGAGGTTCGCACCCCAGGTAGCAAGGACCTTGGCACACTGTCATCCAGAAAGACAAAAGTAAAGAAACCAAAAGACATTTATAAGCTTATTAAAATGTCAAAGGAAACATAACCATACAATATTCGTGAGCCTATGTCCCCCTAGACTTAGGTTTTTCATGATTCTTTAACCTGAATGACAGGAAAAAGCAACAAAGTGGAGTACAATAGAGCTGGGATATCCCTGTATCACACATTAACTATCCTGCTTAGTTTCTCAAAAGTTATCCCATTCCACTGCCCATTATATCCGTCATTCCAGGAACAGAAGCAAACAATAGCAACTTTCACCTTTTAAAGTAACAAAAAGGTATACCTTAACCTCATTTACCCACATAACTTTAAACAGATGTCTAAAATTCCAAATCTGACATGAGTAATGTATCGTACACAAGGAAAACCAGATTTGTACAGCTGGAAAAAGGTTCTTAAAATCCAGATCAATAAAAGACAAATTAAGATGACGCCTATAAATTTTCAATCCGAGCACGCAAAAAAAACATATAATTCTCATCTCCTAGAGGGGATATGTTGGGCTGATCCACAAATGCAACAAGAGCAGATGAGCAGACCTTGAAACAAAAGACATGGTCAACAGATAAAGCAACTGCTGATGAGATAGCATAGGCAGATAGTTCATGGCAGCCCGACGAACAGCAGCTTCTTTGGCAACTGTAAGCCACTGTGGAGTACCGAAGTTGGCAGCCTCGCCACAATTGAAGCCTGCATTTAAAGTGAATATTTGGAAACTAGGATTAAAAAGTTAAAACTCATGTGTTTGCCAATACAACATGTTTCACTTCATACTGCACCACTTAACACAAGAATTTGGGAGGAGAGGCAAAATAAAATAAAGCTGGCAATCAACTAGAGTAAAGGATCCAGACTCACAAGCAACTGAAACAGAATTTCTTTTATATAAGTCAAAATATTTATTGGACATCTTACCCAAGTCTGTGTCATCTTTACATGTGCGTATGCTATTAAGCTCCCAAAAATTCCATCCGGCCATCTTTACAGTAATGAATGTTTTCATTCCATCAAAATACAACATAATTAGTACTTTCCTTATAAATCTCAGTATTTCTTTAAAACTTCTATGATTCTTTTCTCACCAAATTGTCCAAAACAAGCAAATAGGAGCTGTCTTTCCCAGCACCTTTTTCCTACCTTCCATCCTCCAAGTTTGTCATGGCTTTCTAGGAAGATAACCAAACCAAATATTGAATATCTTAAGGCCCACAATTTGTTCCAAAGTTGCAATATATACTTCGTAATGTAATAAAATTTGCTGCATCATCTCCATGCATCTTATACATGCAAGACCAATTTACGACCGCTTGTTTTCTTTTCCTCAAGGTAGGATACTGACCCACAATGCACACCAGCAAAGAGCATTCTTAGTGCTCTAGTTTCCTTATTAACTTCCATGTGCTTGAAATCACCTCCATTGATNGTTACAGTGAATGCGCTACGGAATTCAAGAACATTTGGCCTCTACACCATGTATTTAGCCACAAAAGAATGTGATTTCCTATTTTCCACTGTGATTCTCTTTTGTGAATCTAATGAATGTTAAAAACAGTTTTCCTTCCCCTTCATGAATTTCTTCCACACGCTTAAACCAAATCAAGAATTGGCTACTTTTATGACGGCTGGTTGCTACCTTACCACTAACCTTCCTCCTTTATCCGGGTTTAGGACAACAATGTGAGCAAGCTCACACGGCAGTTTCTCGAGAGGGAACGAGGTATATTTAAAATCATATGTAGTTGTCCTGAAAGACCTATGATTTCTTAGTCTCTACACCATGTATTTAGCCACAAAAGAATCTTATTTCCTATTTTCCCCTGTGACTCTAAATTGTGAATCTAATGAATCTTAAAAACTATTTTCCTTTCCGCACATGAATATCTTCCACACGCTTATACCATATCAAGAATTGGCTAGTTTTATGATGGTTGGTTGACAACCCTACTACAATCCTTCTCTTTTATTCGGGCTTAGGACGACAATGTGAACAAGCTCACACGGTGATTTCTCAAGAGAGGAGCATAGAAGAAAGTTGTATTGAAAAGACCATTGATTTCTTGGAAGCCATGCTGAGTTGCAAACTTTGTGTAAAATAAGGCATAGTAAAAGAAAAGATCTATATAGGCAATACAAATTAATTGGGAATATTGATTTACTCATGTTAATATGTGTACTTTTCCCCCACTTATAGGTATTCACTAGGGTGGTTGTTGTTGTCGCAATATGTGTACTTTAAATCCTGTACTTTCTAGGAGTCATTTAGTCCTATCGGAGATTTTAATGACACAAGAAAATATAAAGAATTTTTTTATTTTGTATAATGTTGGCTTGAGCTGAATTAATGGAAAAATATGGTTAGCAATAATTCATATAGCTGCTCAATTTGTTTGAGATTAGGGGTTATTGTTATTGTTGTTGCTTATAGTATATGAGGTTGTAACGTCTTCCTAAAGCCAATAATGCGCATGGTATCAATATTTTGTACACATCACCTCTTACATGGTACATACTTATTTCATTTGTGAATCTGTCTAATCACTTTCTCAAGACGGCTTGATTGATTAACGAATTGGCATTCATGGAAACCTCATTCTCCTACTGGTAGCATACTAGCATCACCATCTCCATCCAATCAAGCATACTTTTCATTCCTGTTTGCTCCATGCCGCTATCTCATAAAGTTATCCATCAGCTTTTCCTAACTTCTTAATAATTGATAATAGAATGAGAGAGACATAAATTATGTTTATACGTTGCATGTTTGATAGGGCCGATTTTATGGGAGTAACCTTCAAATTTTTCAGTTAAATTTGCTAAGCCACTATGTTCAATTAGAATCACTGCCTCTCTCTCTCTCAACTTACCATCAGCAAAGAGCCCAAATCGCAGTATCTCTCCATCAACGCCGGCGACCACATATAAGGGTTTCTCTCCTCCTCTACCCCCCCCCCCCCCTTCCTCTCGTCAGTTTCTTTCTCCTTCTTCTTTTGCCTCCTGTTCCCGCTCTCTCCTCTCTCCTTCTCTCTCTGTCGCCTCTGTTTTCCCTCTTGCTGGTGGAAGTTCGGCGACGAGACTGTCAGCGCCGGCGGTGGTCTGCCTCTGTTTTCCCTCTTCCCCCTTTCCCGGTTGCTTCTTTCTCTGTCTCCCTACCCCTCTCCCACTCTCTCTTTCTAGTGTGTGGGTGTAAAAGGCAGCAGATTCCCGGCGACCTAGCCATAGCCCGGACCGCGGGTAGACTGCAAAGGCGGGATCGACGGGTTAGAGTGCCTCCGGCCAACCAGGTTCTATCGTCCCTTTTCCTGTTCTTTTCTATTTTTGGATATTGGTCAACATTGTTATTCATCTGTTGTGTTAATTCTTCTACTGTTTAGTATTTTTTTTGGGGAGTCTTCGTGTGGTTGTATTCTTGCTTAGTTATTTTACCATTTGTGTTCTTCTTCTTGAGATTGAGTAGAATGTGGTTGTGTTCTTGCTTAGTTATTTTACCATTTCTTCTTGTTGAGATTGAGTAGAATTTTTATTCTGTTATTAACCATTTCTACTGGGTATTCTGGAATAAATTGCATTCACTTTATTCCCCGTTTCTTGTTGTGTCCCTTTATTTAGGTACTTCTATATATCGTGTTTTATTGAAATTAGGAGTACTGTAGTAATTAGGGACTTGTTATTTGGGCTATAGTGGCTGTGGTGAACAATGGTATAGTAAGATCATGTCCTTGAGTGGGGCAGGGGGTGGGGGGCAAGGGTAGTAACGGGGGTAAGGGAACCTCTAGATTGAGTCCTGGAACATAGGGACTTTGACTAGGAAGTCTATAGAGTTAGCTAAGATTCTCCAGAAGAGGAAAGTCAACATAGCTTGTGTCCAGGAAACTAGATGGGTGGGGAATAGGGTTCGGGAGGCAGACGGGTTTAAGTTGTGGTACTCGGAGGGTGAGGGGGAAGAATGGGGTAGGCTTACTAGATGATAGGAAATATAGAGAGCTAGTGATAAAGGTTAGGAGAGTGAACGACAGGTTGATGGCTATTAAAATAGTTGTGGGAGGGCTTATTTGAACATTATTAGTGCTGGTTTGGACGAGGAGGTTAAAAGGCGTTTTTAGGAGGACTTGGATGGGTTGGTACGGGGAACTCTGCCCACCGAGACGCTTATCATAGGAGGAGATTTTAATGGCCACATTGGGACGTCGTCTGGGGATTACGACGGGGTACATGGCGGCTTTGGTTTTGGAGACAGAAACGTAGGAGGAACTTCGTTGTTGGAGTGTGCTAAAGCCTTTGATTTGGTGATTGCTAACTCGTGTTTTCCCAAGAAAGAGGAGCACCGGGTCACCTTCCAGAGTACGGTGGCCAAAACCCAAATTGATTATATCCTACTTAGGAGGTGTGATAGAGGTTTATGCACGGATTGCAAGGTCATCCCAAGTGAGAATCTCACGACGCAACATAGGCTATTGGTTATGGATTTGGCGATCATGCGGACAAGGAAAAATAGGGTAGTGTAAGGTCTACCTAGGATCAGGTGGGGTGCCTTGACTAATGACAAAGCTTAGGAGTTGGGGGAGAAGCTACTGGCTATGGGGGCCAGGAGGAGTAGTAGGGACGCGATTTGCATGTGGACTATGACAGCGAGCTATATTAGAGAAGTTGTGAGAGAGGTGTTAGGGGTCTCAAAGGGTTTCTCTAGTGGCCGCAGGGGGGACTGGTGGTGGAATGAAGAGGTCCACGAAAAAATGGAAGCCAAGAAGGCAGCATATGTGAAGCTTACAGAAAGCATAGATGAGGTGGAGAAGAGGGCCAATAAGGAGTGGTACAAGGAGGCTAAGAAGGAGGCTAAGTTAGTAGTTACTGCGGCTAAAACCGCATTGTTTGAACGTCTGCATGAAGACTGAAGAGCTTGGGGAGAAAGGCGGGGATAAGAAGTTGTACAGATTGGCCAAAGTGAGAGGAAAAAAAAGGCACGTGACCTGGATCAAGTGAGGTGTATAAAAGACGAGGAGGATGGAATTTTGATGGATGAGGCACAGATTAGGCGGAGATGGCAGCCATACTTCCATAAACTTTTGAATGAAGGGAGGATAGGAATATTGTGTTGGGTGATTTGGAGCACTCCGGAAGTCATCGGGATTTTGGGTACTGTAGGCGCATTAGAGTAGGGGAGGTCGAGGGGGTAATGCGAAGGATGAGCAGGGGTAGAGCAACCGGTCTGGAAGAAATCCCTGTAGATAAATGCTATTTTCTTCAAGTTTACCCTAGTTTTAGTTATGATTTCAGGAACCAAATTGTATCTCGTCTCGAATTTTTCCATCCGTCGTGATCAAAGTGCCCAAATCGTTTGACTAGATCCGGTAAGGATATCATACCACAAGCACACTAGTGTGGTGTCGGCACGGGTGCGAAACCTATATTGCCGTATCGGAGCAACTTAGACTATAAGTTCTACGAGCATTGGACATTAATGAAAAACTTAGTTCCTCGTCCCCATCCAAAGCCAACTATTTGAGACTTTTGCCTCCTCTTTTCTGCTACCGATCCCGCTTTCGAAGTTGTCTTTGAATTCCAATCCCCCCTCCCCTCCCCTTCTATTTGCAGCTATGATTTTCAAGTCAACTCGCACACATCCCAACTAATCTAACGGGTTCCCACCTCTTTTTCGATAAGATATCACGCTAATCTTTCTTCTGCAAAATGCAGTTAGTTCCTGGAAGAAAGTCGATTTACTTGTCTTCATTCTACCAAACACATCTCTCACTTCCATATCTTTAAATCATATTTCAATAATCTTAGCTTCTTGACCTCTAAAACTTGGGTCACCTTCCCACGAATTGATATCTCATTGTGCCCTCACCATCACCCTGAGACCTTCATACAGAACCCACATGTTCTTAAACCTAACAAGATTTGTTTTCCTAGATCATTTGTATATAGAGAAAATTGTTAACTGTGAATTGGAGATCTCTAATGTGGAACTACAAGCATAAACTCATATGTCAAAATAGACTAAGAAACGATGTATTTTACATATCGGAGAGTAAGATTGAATCAGTGTTTGGAAAAGCGATCGCTTCGTCGCTTTAAGCGCGAAGCGGCAAGGCATCGCTTTTTACTGCCTGAGGCGATACGATCGTGTGAAGTGCACGCTTCAGTGAAAAAAGCGACAAGGCGACGAGGCGACGAAGCGAGTGAAGCGATCGCTTCTGTTAAAAAATCGCAGCTAGGCCCTTTTTACAAAAAAAAAGAAAGATTGAGTTTGTTTGTAAATTAACAAAACAGACCCCTAAGCTCGCTATTACAGATCCTCGACAAAACAGAGTGTAAACAGACGCCTTCTCTCTTCTTCATCGCAAAACTAGGGCTTCTGCCATTTCTTCAGTCCAGGTAAATTCTTCTTCTCCTTCTTATTTTTTTCTTTCTTCTTTCTTTCTTCTTCTTGTCCAGATTCTCCTTTTTTTCCTTCTTTATTCCTTCTTCTTCTTCTGTTCTCTTTTTCACTTTTTCTCGTCCAGCGTCTGCACAGCTAAGGCAGGCGTTGTTTTCTTTTTTCCCCCCTTTTATTCTTCTTAATTTTAATATGTATTTTAGTTTATAAAATTACTTATTATATAAATGTGTAATATTTTTCGGTTTATTTGATTTTTTAATGTGTATTTCAGTTTATAAATTAATTATTATATATATGTTATATTTTCAGTTTGATTAATTGTAAAATGTATTTCAGTTTAGAAAATTAATTATTATTATTATTATTATATACACATTATATTTTAGTTTATTTGATTTTTTTAATATGTATTTCAGTTTATAAATTAATTATTATATATATTATATGTATTTTAAGAATTGCGCTTCACTTCAACGAAGCGTGCGCTTCGCTTTTGAAGCGAGGCGAGCCCATGTCGCTTTTTTGCGCTTCGCGCTCTCAAAAACACTGGACTGAATACATGCACCGGAAGTTTAATCAGCATGAGAAGGGCGAAGTTGAGGTGAGACTAGATGGGATTGCGGTGCCAAAATGCAAACAATATAGACATCTAGACTCGTTATTTCAAGATAATGAAATGATAGATGAAGACATTACTCATAGAATAAAAATCGAATGGTTGAAATAGAGAAGTGCCACTAGGGTATTATGTGATAGAAGGATGCCTACCAAACTGAACGGTAAGCTTTATAGAGCAGCTACAAGACCAACAATGTTATATGGTAGTGAAAGTTCAGCTGCCAAAGTCCAACATGTCCACAAGATGAGTGTTGCAGAGATACGGATGCTAAGATGGATGTGAGGTCGTACAAAACTAGAGAAGCTTAGAAATGACCACATTTGTCAGAAGTGCAAGTAGCATGCATTGAGGATAAAATGAGAGAAGGTCGCTTGAGATGGATTGGTCATGTCATGCTTCGACCTTCAAATGCACCGGTCCATAGGTGTGAAACTATGCTGAGTGGAGGTATTAAAAGAGTGGGGTAGACCTAAAATCACATGTAAGGAAGTTGTCTTGAAAGACCTACAAATTCTTGAAATCAATGCAAACTTAGCTAAAGATAAATTAACACGGGAAAAAAAGATCCATATAGGGTATACCTACTAGTTGAGAATAGGATTTAGACTTGCTAGAGAGCTTCTAATATTACTATTATTATTGCTATAATTTTTATATCTATTGGATATATGTGTGTTTTTTTTGTGTGTGTATATATATACACATTCATTTTCACTTTTATTTTATTGTGGTATGATGACGATTGGGTTGAACTAATAAAAAGGAAGTAAAGATTCATAAAGCTTACCCCAACTTGTTTGGATTTGAGGCGTTGTTGTTGTTAGAGTCATCAAGGGGTGGAGAAAGGAATTTAGTTAACTCATTAAAGGGAAAGATCACAATCAAATCAGCACAACAGCTATTTCTGCATAAATTGTTGAAGCTATCATAATAATAACTTCAATTTAGAAGATCAGAAGCAATTACCATGGCTGAAACCTATATGGTAGGCCCTCGGAAAAGTGACAACAAATTCACCAGGATTCTGTACCAATCTATGAAAAAAAGAGCACATATAGTAGAATGTTAGCAATATTAAAGAAAATTAGGAATTGCCACACAGGAGACCCCCACTTTAGTTCCAGAATATAATCAAGAGAATACAAAAAGTTAAAGTAGGATCAGACAAAAGGAAACCACCTGCAGCAGGGGATGCCTGATGCTACAACAACTTCAGGTGATAAAAGAGTGGTCTTCTCGCCCAATAGCGTAAGAGCAGCTGGAGAGTAAAATTATATTTATTGGATCTGAGAACTACAAACTTTTCAGAGCAAAAACTCCCAAATATCTCTATTTCAATGTCAACAAGAGAGTTGCCAGATGATTAAAGCCAAAGATCTATATATAAATGACACAAATTGAGCAGGCATATGAAAATTGTTTCCTTCAATAGAAATTAAACTAAGACTTGAGAAGGACAAGTTACCAGAATGTCAAGTATAATCACAAAAGACTGAACATCTGTAGCAATTCAGAATAAGTAATACAGGAAACAGGATCACTTCTTAAGGAACTTTGGAAAGAAACTCATACCCTTCACTCGAACATTTACTTTCTAACGTATGAAGAGATAGTTAGAGAGCAAATGCATGTTAAACCCCCTACCATGGCTAGTATCTCATAACTGCCAGCATACCATGCCTAAACAAATACAAAATGAACATGACTGCCAAAAGGCTATATAAAATGCTTAAACAATAAGTGCATGATAACATTGTATATCATTTTTTTGAGAAGGAAACAATTTTGTTTATATATCAACTGCACCAAGGAGGTGCGGTCTTTCAAATTACAAAACATTGTATATCATCTACGCAGCAACGTTTCCTTCTCCCTTTTGGAATGGTGGCTCCAGTTTCCAGAACATGAGGGGGGGATTTTTCTTAATTGATATGGCAAAGCCACCTCCTAAGCAGGAGCGCAATAGTATCTTTTTCACGCTTTACTCCCTTGTTCGCCCAAACATCCAATGTCATGGTTGGAGGTGGAGGACTCTACCACTAAACTATTCCTTCCTTGTCGACAAGATGAGAAATATACAGAGACAACAAGCAAGAGTAAGGATTTTGGTGGCATTTGACCTCACAGATGAGAGAACCAGCAAAGGAAACATCAAAGAGAAGAAGACTACGGAAACAAAATTCCATTTCTCTCGAGGTATTAGGGAGTACATTACCGGAATTACCCCAAATAAATTCCCTCTTCTCTCTCGTTGTTGTTCTTTAAAACCTTTTGCAGAATGAAAATAGTTATTAATAATAAATTCTTCAAAGATATTTTATGCTAACTATCAAATTAAACTCCTTAAATAAGTACTCTATACATCTATACATCGTTAGTGCAACTAAAAAAAAATTGACGAAGAATGGAGAGAAAAAGGGCAAACTAGAATCTTCTTCAAGCGAGGGCGCCCTATGCTACGCCCCTTAATGAGTCGAATGGTACTTCGACTTTCATGTGATTCTGACAGCCTGCATGGATCCCATGAGACCCGCCGACGATTACCATGAAATTTTTTGGTGTATTTACAAAAAAGGGGAAGATCGAGAAAAGAGACCGCAACCAAAAAGAAAAGCTCATGGCAAAAATCTCTTGAGGCACCTATAAAGGGAACCCACAATTGGATTCTTCAGGTGCTCGTTAACTTCTTGCCTTTACTCCTACAAAATGTCATGCTTTCAACTTCCCATTTAGGACCAGGCTAAGTCATTATTCATTTTCTAATATGAATATATCATATAGGCTTTTTAGCATGGTTATAATTTTTTTCAATCAAGTAATAAGATTTATTAACAATAAGCAAAAACCACTCGTATACAAGAAGTATAACAAAAAGTAATAAACCTTATAGAAAGAGATAGTTTTCTACAAACGACATCCAATCTTCTATACCTACAATAACTTCGTGAGTTCACCAAAAGGAAATAAGGGACAAGAGGTTGGTCCTTAAGTGTACAAAATTCTTCTCTATTCCGTCAAAAGTCCTCCTATTTCTCTCTCTTCAAATGGTCCGCAAAAGTGCTAGTAGAGCAACACTCACGCCCCAACATGACTCATAATTCCCCGCCTAAACATTTTTCATTGTCATCAGCTAGCCTCAGTCCCAAACTAGTATGAGTCGTCTATACGAATCCTCAGTATCCATTCCGCTAAATTTTCAGCATTTTGGAGGTTTATCATAATTGGACTATTTTTTACACTGACACACAATCACTTCAATCTCCTATACACTACTTTCAATGAAAGAAAGACTGTACCGGTGCAATAAGTAAGATTTCTACATAAAGAGCATATATTATACACAAGTACAAAATTTCAAATAAACCCAGCATTCTTTATGAAGAGCATTATGTCCTCTATATTGACTGAATTATCATATTGCTCCAAAAGTAATAAAAATAACAAGTCCCACTAACTTTTACAAGAGTATTTCAACTCTTTAAATGCTCTTCTTTTTCATATTATCCACATGAGCACCAAAAGAGCTATTCCCCATGTTCCTCTTCTCAGCTCTTCATTTCCACCCAATAGCATGTCAGTGATAGATTCAAGATCATCCATTTAACTCCAATATTCCACCATATACACCATAGCCTACATGTGAACGTCACCTTTGTCATCTATATTACTTATATTGCTTTCGGGAAAGAGTCTCTCTTTCCCTCTACCCTATTAGAGTGCTGATTGGTTCCTTGATAACTAATTGGTTAGCTTTTATGAGGAGGTTAACTTGTTAGGTTTTTCTAGGAAATCAAAGTTTTCTTTTGTAAATCAATTTAAGTTGTTCAAATCTTGCCCCAGACAAAATCCTAGTATTTAAGTGGAGAAGCGTAAAGGGGCAGGCCCGTTATCCACCAAACTTCGAACCCTACACTAGTAGCCCTCGAATTACTAGGTTATCAAGACAATACATTTTAACTTATTCAATGTAGGATAGCACAACTTTAAAAAGAAACTTTGAAAATCCTTAAAAGAAGGAAAGCCCACAAGTTAGATATACAGGCAACTTACTCAAGTATAAGTAGTTTTGGCATTCAAGTTGGAAATTGCAAAAGCTTTATGTCCTAAATTTACTTTAATTTAATATATTGACAAGTACTTCAAAGTAGGAACCAAGATCGCTTTGAGTTAAATACTAGTGTAAGTTGTTTCCTTAAAAGAATATTAGTGTAAGTTGATTCACAGGATCATATCCCAAAATACGGCTTGCAGTATAACAGTTTCCCAAGAAGGAGAAAACAGAATAGATATGCCAAGCTACAAAAACAAAGAGGGAAAACAATGGATATGCTGAGCTACAAAAGCAAAGGAGGAAAACAACAAAACAAGGTTTTCTCCAATTGCACTAAATAAGGGACAATGGTGAGGAGAAACAACTCATACACCTAAATGTTACAAGAAACCCAACAATCAAGGATGGGGTTAAGGAGCTGCTGGCTGCAATTTTCTAGGTCAATGCACTTTGAAGGGAGGCATTCTTGAAGAAGGGAGAGATACTCCACCAGATACCAGTCAAAATCAATTAAAACCATGTTTGAGAGGGGCAAAAAGGGAAAAACAGTTGGAAAAAGAATGAAAAGAAAGTGACAAAGAGGCTGGATAACTTTTGCTATGATGAAAGGATAGACTCTAGATAACTTACAAAACAAGAAGAAACTTCTAATGGGAAGAAAGAGGGAGATCCTAATTCTGAATATGTTCCTATTACTTGCTGCTTTCTTCATAGTAAACAGGATATAGCCACTTCTGTAGATGATTGAATGGGGTCTGGAAGCTAAACACAAAACTATTTGCAAATGGCGTTATCAACCATATTTCTGAATAACATCTTGAAAACTTTTCCAAAAAGAAGTGCAACACGGCAAAGAACAAGCTTCCATGGGTTAAAAATATATAAATTCTGAAAGCAATGGACAGTTATACAGCGACTAACATACATCTCAGGAAATCTTTCCAAATGGCAATAGCATATAGAGCAATGACCAAGGACAGTTATTGTGTAAAGAAAAGTATAAGCATAACCCCAAGGTTACCAACTATGATATAACCTTTCCAAAGAGAACTAATTCTTCCATCTTTTTGTAAGATTACAAGAAATGAGAGTTTGAAACATTTCAAGAAGCTAAAGAATAAAAGAAAAGAAAATATTCCTTTCTTTCTTTTTCTTCTTTGATAATTTTCATCACATCATCGACAAAATAATATATCCATACCTAATCGATCAGTATTTCCTCCATAAGCATGATGACGAATGACTTCTTCAAAATTAAATGCATAATCTCCTGGCACAGCATACCAAGTCTTAGGGGATCCCGTATGAAGAAAATTCAAACTATGAAGCTCGTGATCCTCAACATGCCAAGCAAACCAGCTAAACAACATCCCTATATAGACCATAGGAGAAGTAACACCGGGGATATCATCTGGCATGAAGCGAGTCAGTGACCCAGGCGACCGTGCAATTACTTGCAAATTCCAAGGACTGTTTGAAAGGTTCCAACCAGCACTACCTTCCATTGCACCAGCATTACTACAATCTTTTGGCCTAAAAAGGGACGAGTTTGTTATTTTCTTTGATGGAGGGGTCAACAAAGAAGCGGATCGTGTCTCTACGCTATGACATGGACTTTTGTCCGCACTATTACCAGAAGTACCTACTCCATCATTCTTATAACTAGAATTTCGTCGCCTATTTCTATCGGGAATTGTCCTCTTCCCCCTCCTTCTCCTCCTGCGAAAATAATGAAAGTGTCCCTCAGGATCCCCAAATGCAGAACCGGGCACATCATTTGCATACTCCACGTAGATAGGGTCCTCGGAAGCCCTCTTCCAAAACATTGCCTCCACAACTAATGGAGAAAGCTCCTTAACCACGCCCAATTGACTCCTAGCAAAATTCTTCGATTTGGCTTCAAACTGCTCTAATGTATAAACTTCTCCACTTTGCCACACTTGCTTCTGAGCTCCCAATATTTGAAAACCAAATTCCCTTTTTATCTTCTTCTTTTCACTACGCCCCAATTCTTGATGCCGCGTGGTAAAAACTGCCCTAAATTCTCCACCATCAACATTTCCCTCATCCTCACCACTTGTTGTAGACGAAGTATCACGATTGGCATTCAAACCCAACTCGGGGCACTTGGATAGAGATTTATTCAAGTTATGAACCACATACTTCTTTGAAGGTTTAGGCAATGGTGGAATCACCTTGCAAATACCAAAAGCACTAGCTTCCTTCTCAATTTTGGATATATAAGCAATGGGGTCAGCAAATTCAGTATCAGTAGGTCGAAATTCAGGTGCCAGGGGCAACCTTTTAAGCCATTCTGGTATATCCACACACTTCATCACCATTCAACAGAGAGTACCATAACCACAATAACTCATGAGAATATTGAATTAATTAACCACCCAAATAAACACCCTAAAATCTACAGGCTAAACGAGTGAGTTTACACAACTACAAAACCCTAATTTGAGCTTCTGTTCCTCCGAAAAAATGCAGGAACTGGAAAAATGTAAAGGCGCGACGTATGCTAGACAGTGAACCTGAAACTTGAATTAAACTTCGAGGGCAATCTTCAAAACGATGAGTGAGAAAAAAGCCAAAATCCCCAAACATTGTTGTGTCCAGGTTATAACGGACAGTTTTGACTCTTGAAGATGCGTAATATAGCACTTTTAACCACCATTTCCTTAACCTACGCCAGGTGGGATAAGGCGCACAGCAGCACCGACGTCAGCGGGACATATGGTTGGGTCCAACGGACCAAAGTAGGTACCTTGGCGGGCGATTTGCATATATACTTAGTTTTAGGGTTACTATTGTAGGGAGCAAAATTGGCTAATATTAAATGACTAAATGGTAGCACGACACGTGGAGCCGGAGATATACGGATGACAAATCGAGTAAGGACTAAAGACCAGGGACAACAACTGCAGTCGGTATCGGATTGACCCGGAAGGGAGCGTAATCAACGAGAGCGGGTCGAATGTTTGTCACCAGATGACATTTAATGAAGAATATTCCCTAGTATTCAATAGGCAGCTGTTGCAGAGAATTTTGGCATTCATGATCTGTCATTACACATTCATCAATGACCCCTTTTATTGTCATTTAAGAGGGGGTTGATCCTAGGATCTTGTTTCCTAGGTATAGCTATAAATAGTGACTTCAACAACCACTGTAGAGAGACGAAATCTCTGGCAAAACTTATGCTATACTTTATTCTCAAGCTAAATAGTACAACTTTACTTTCTGTCTAATATTGCTCTTACTTCTGTCCTCGGAAGCATTCCTTCCGGAGCCAGGCCTACCATTTCCTTTGATTTTAACGCTAAGTCTTATTTTGAATTTATTTTATTTATCATTTTGGATTAAATCAGTTCTCTTGTCTATAAACCACGTAATAAATTCAATTGTACTATTTTACGGGTAAATAGTTTGGCGCCTACCGTGGGGCTTAGACAGTTGCGTAATTGAGTTGATCCTTGCATCAATTAGTAACTTGTTTGATTCTTTGTTTCATAGAAAAAATAAAAAATGGCAGTTAACGATGTCAACATCACACACAATGTTGAGGCGCACAAAAATCTGTCTCAAGATGAGAATTCAATCAATGACACCCGCAACGAGGGGGATGTGGCAACTCCAATCCATGGTGACAATATCCCCGACATGTGCGGAAGCTAACTCCCGATGATGCGGAGGACGAACACATTGTGGAAATGGTAAGGATCTTGAGAGAGTAACAGAAAATCATCATGGGCCATCTCTCAAGGCAGGACCAAGTCATGATGAAGTTGAATCAAGCATTATCAGGTGCTTCCAACAACGCGAATGGAAGAGGTCCAGTTCCTCCCAGCGCTTTTGCAAATCAAATAGCTCAAAGAGTTGATAACAACACCCCAAGGAGTGAGGTCGATTTCGACAGAGCTAGGGGTACCGACAGCGGATCCGGTAACGACAACGGTAATGATCCCTTCAAAACTGAACTCATGAGATTTATGAGGGTGATAAACGAGCGGATGGAGCAAAATGTGAAGGAGTTTCACGCTCAAATGGACCAGATTCCGGGCGCACCACTAGTGTTGAAGGGCCCAGATTCGAAGAAGTACACCAAGTTGTCGTTTAAGCCGAGCGCAACACCAAAATTGATTCCGAAACGATTCAAGATGTGAGACATACAAAAGTGCGATGGGACTTCAGATCCTCAGGAGCACATCACAACTTATACAACGGCAGTGAAAGGAAACGACTTGGCCCAACATGAGATTGATTCGGTTATGCTGAAGAAATTCGGAAAAACCCTCACAAAAGGGGCCATGACATGGTATTCACTCATACACTCAATAGATTCCTTTGAAATACTCGCAGATTCTTTCACTAAGGCCCATGCCAAGGCCAGGAAGGTCTAGGCCCAGAAGGCAGACATATTCAGAATTGCGCAAGGAGAGTCTAAATTATTGCGTGAGTTGGTGATCAGATTCCAAAAAGAAAGGATGTTGTTACCGGTCGTGCCAGATGAATGGGCAGCGGAGGTATTCACTAAGGGTCTAAACCCGAGAAGTTCTGATGCCTCCTAGAAGTTGAAGGAACACCTGCTCGAATTCCAAGCGACCACATGAGCGGATGTCCATAACCTCTATGAATCAAAGATAAGGATAAAAGATGATCAGCTTGGGTTCCTGACATCAACCAAGGGACGGGATCGAGATAAGGTCAAGAATGATTTTGATGCAGATTGACAATCTTCCAAAGGTCACTTTTTTCCCTACGAGAGAGCCGAGGGACGTGGCAGTAAAGGGTTCCTATTACACCCCATGTTTTCATACGTAAAGGTATGTCGTAAGTCAATTGATGTAAGCTCGAAAATAAGATCCTCTTTGAAAGTATATAAAGTAAGTTAATAATGTTACAGTGGAGGTTACAAATATTTAAGATCATTAATAACAAGTACCAAGAGGGTTGGAAGACTTAGAAGCAAAACAAATTGAAGAAAATAAGTTTCGTCGGAAGTCGACAAGTTGGGAATATTGTAACATGTACTTTTGGGGTGAGACTAAGGTTCTTAACATGATAAGGAGGATACATTATGAGTTATTTTAGTTGTATGATAGTCGTGTGTTACATTTTGAAGTCAAGCAAGTTATGGAACAAAAGTTGGCATAGGTCATCACAAGTCACACTCATAATATGCTGAAAATTAGGTCAAATGTAGCTGAGCTTTTCTCTCAATACTTAGAGTTACGGGGTGATCCACCTATCAAATCCAAGGCTTAAGAGTCTAGTTTCCAACTCATTAAAGAGTACATCAATGTGACATTAGAGTAGAAAGATATTTATATTTTTGCAAGACTGTGCAGACTGCTAGGTGACAAGTAGGTGCATCACCTACTTGCTCAAATGAAGGGACCAAATAAATCCCCAAAAAGGGGAGGCCAAGGGGCCTTTTAAGGGCTGAATTAAATCACTTATTTTGATCATTTCTCAGACCAAGAATATCATATTAAACCCCTACAAATCCTCCCCCAAAAATCCCACACAAACCCTAGGTGATTTCGGGTGATACGAAGTGATTCTGGTGCTAGATATCCTAGATAGCTTGTTGCTTTTCCTTTCTCCTTCTTGTAGCTACATTGGGGGACTAATTTCGGATGAAAATGAACTAGGATTCGTGGGTTCTACTCAGTCCAAGGTTATTTTATGCTTCTCATTTCCTTATCTAAGCTTATATGAGTTGTAGCTCGATTGTAAAGACTAGAACTTGCGAGTTTCGAAAGAGTAGTATGCTGTTTGTTGTTGCTGTAATTATTGGCTGGTTGTGAACTTATTTTTAAGTTGAATTCATGTATGATTTATATGAAAAGAGTCTTAATTATTTACTATTGGTTGTGTTGCTCGATTTGAAAAAAAAAAAGAAAAAAATCGAAAACATCTATTAGTAATCAAAAAAATCAGTTTTGAGTTGTTGAACTTGTCAGACTGCTATGGGGTCACTTTAAAGTTGTATTATGGCTGAAATTAGTATGGATAATTGAATAAGTGGAGGTTAATGTTGTTGATAAATTCTGGAAGGAAGAAGGGGTTTAAAAATATAGTTGTTTAGTCACAAACCGAGCTTGTCGCTCATCTTGTTAAACTATTTTGAAAGGCTTATTATGAGTATTTGTTGATTTTTTGGGCTATTGTTGGCTGTTGTAACGTGTGGGAAGCCATATAAATAGGGGAGGTGCTGCCCATTTTATCGTAGAATAAAGTGTGTCGTTCAAATGCGATAAGTTACGGCATTCGTATTGTGACGACAGTATTGTTCATTGCTTGTAGACAAAGGAGCTGCAGGTTATGGTAGCTTGAGGATTAGACTGGATATTATGAGGTATGTAAGGTCTTCCTTTATTTTCTTTGGCATGATTCCGTAATTTACATTACCCTTATAAGGGATTCCAGAGGGCGTGTGCTTGTATACGTACTATTTCAAGGATTAAGGTCCGTTCACGAGTATAGTCATATGAATGTTGAAATGGATTGTGTTGGTCGTAGTTTCATGTATTCTTAACGAGTAAGTAGAGCCTTATTAAAGGTCCTTGTCTTTTATATGTAACAAGAAGTCTAGATGTTAATTAAACATTACACACGAATGGTTTGATGAATTAGAAGCAATATAGAGTTTGTATAATGAGGGATAGTTATACACAAATAGTTCAGCATCGTAGCATAATGCATAGTTTGCAGAAAGATAAGAATGATTCGACCTAAAGAATTCCATGACTTCCAATACTTACACGTTTGTGTTCACAAAACTGATAAAGACCTAGGAAGGTAGTTGTGTTGCTCTCAAGTTAAGTAAGGTTGATTATATATGAGGGTGATGTTAAGAGATAATATACATTACCTAAGGAGTCATAAACTACAGAATACAAGCTTAGCAATAAGAATATATGTTGATAGAGCGTAAATCCCACAACTCTTGTTACGTATTGATGAATGGATATATGTATGTATAGCGATTAGCCTCATACGCTAAAGTATTACATAGCTATAAGTACAAAGAATCATGTAATCCCCAGCAATGAGCCATGATGTGAAATAAGGATAGAAGTGCGATTTCAAAATAGTTGCAACATTCTTTATGGATAAATAATATAGAATACGAAGGATGACGTAGGAAGTGGCTAACGAATAAGGATTAGTTATTGTAACGAGTTACTCACGAACTTGTACGTTTATGAATACGAGTTTATCTATTGATGATTGAATGATGTCTACATGAGTGATATGAAATGAATATGTATAAGACATGATCCCTACGAACGGTCTGTGAACGCGTAGGTGTACATTGAAGCCCTATGGACGGTCTATGAACGCATAGGTGCATAATGAAGGTTGGTGATGGATGGTCTCAGTTGCACGCATAGCCAGACCTATGAGCCCTACATATGGTCTACTATGTTACGCGTAAGATCCACTAGTTATTCATGTTTATAAGGAAGCCTTACGGACATTCTCTTATGAAATGCGCAAGTGCCACTTTTATGTTTCAATGTAATCCTAGAGATTTTTGATCTGTCTGAGGTAAGTATTCGGATATAAAGTATGATGGCTAGAGGAATATTACAGATTATGTTCCATGATACGATGTTTTCCGGTACAGATAGCATATGGGAACAAGTTTAGGTATATCATGACACGAATTAGATGTATATACGACATTAGATGTTCTCGGCCAACAAAGCCTTCCTTTTT